GGCCGCATGAAAGAACCCCGCAGGCCGCGTGTTTGAGACCCCTGATTTCTAGTCCATCATCTCACTGTGCCTCAGTTTTCTTATCAGTTAAATGGGGTTAATAATTATTTTTACTCTGCAGGGTGTTATGAGACAAAACTAATTAACATATATAGGGATTATTAATTTTAAAAAAGCTCTATAAAGGAGTTGTGATCAACTGAGGCACTCAAGCCAAGAGCCCAGTGGTTTAAACAAGAGTGGGATGGAAATGAGGTGCTCTGACAGAAGGGTCCTTGATTCTGGATCTGGGTTTCCTCCTACCTTAGTCACCTACAGCACAGGTTGTGTGACTTCAGAGCATACCATAAGACTCTTCTGTTTTCCCAGGCTTTTTCCATATGACCAGAGATTGGGTAGTTGGAAAAGAGGCAGTTTGTTTCTGTTGGGGGTTGCTCTTATTGATCTATTGAGATACTTGGTTTATAATAGTTGTACAGTACCCAGAGCTCCAGTTATAAATTTAAACAAATAAAGGCAGGTGCAAATGTGTGTGCATATGAATTCCCACACATGACTTTCATGAAGAACTCCCCTTCCATTAAACTATTGGGCCTGAACAATCCCTCAAAGGTTTTTTGTAAAAAACTGCATGTGCACTGCACTATATTATATTATATACACCATTTGTTTTTTTTCTTTCCAAAATTCATACCTGTTAAAGTAGTTGCATTATTTTTAGTACAATGGTGATATGTTTTTTCTCCTAGTTGAGGTGTATCCTTTCTCTCTTTTGTTCAACAATAACGTGGCTAACAGCTACCTGACCAGATGCTGAGTTCTGCAACATATTTTGCCAGAAACAGTTTTCTGGCTGCCTTGCTAGTTATGACAGTGGCAGTAGAACTGCTTCTGGAGTTTGGACCTGTGTTGGTACCAGACTTCTGTGATTATCCTGTTGGGTTACCATTTTCCTTAGAGTAAGAATTTGATATTTTCTATGTGCATCAATGAAATTCGAAAATCCTATTCAGATGCCATAGGAACAGCTCTCTAAGCAGTATTAACTCCAGCTCTGCCATATTCCTTCCCTGTGAAGGGGAGAACAGCACAGGAGTAATTGGGATGGCAGAATATTAACAACATAGAGTCTTGTAAGCTGTACTGCCAAGGAGAGCAGTGTGGTCAGGCAGCCCCTCTGCAGAATTGGAACTGTTAGTCCCCAGTGATTCCCTCAGGCCTGTGAGCTTTGTCCCTAACCTCCAGGATCCCTGCCATTTCCACAAACTCTTCCATTTGAGGGGAGGAACAATGCATGCTAACTCAATGAGGTAACCCTGGATTTATACTGGTGAAACTGAGACCAGATTTTGACCCACTGTCTGTCTCCTTATCCCATAACAGCAAAAAAACACGGGGGCTGATATTCCACTGCCTTGCACACCATGTGCTCTGTTCCCCTCCCGTGGGTATTACTGAGTGTGTGCTATACAGTGCTTAGAATCTAGAATGGGATTGTAAGCAAGTAAGGCACTGTGCCTCTTTCTCCACTCACTTGGACCCTGTGTAGTCATTTACCCCTGTACAAAGACAATGCAAAACACTACGTTGCACTCTCTCTACAAAGGGTAAACAAGTACACATTGTGCAAGGCAGTGGACTATTGGCCCCACCAGTTTTTGCTGCTGTGGGATAAAGAGACAGACAGTGGGTCAAAATCTGGTCTCAGTTTTACCAGTGTAAATCCAGGGTTACTCCACTGAGGTCATACGTATTGTAGCAATACGTTCCCAACATTTGAGGCTTGATTCTACCATTCTTATGTATGTTGCCTAGTACCTTGATATGTGAGTGGTCATATCAGTGGGACCAATCATGCAGTTAGGATTGTGGAACTGGACCCTAAAATAATTAAAATATGGTTCCTTTTTATATAACAGTATTTCAAATGCAACTAATCTGGTCTGAGATAGGATTTAAAGGACCTAAAATCTGTTTCTGATCTCACCAGTGATGATGTAACTCCTTTGAGTTCACCGGAGTTACTCCTGATTTACACTAGTGTAACTGAAACCAGAATCCATATCTAAGAAGTTCTAAATGCACTAGTCATTTAAGTGTCGTGTTTGCTAATGTGAGTAGCCCCACTGAACACAGGGCAGTAAGGATTTGCAGGACTGAGCTCTTAGTTTGCGCATAGTGCCCAGTTGTGGTTGGTTTGTCTGTGGGATTTTTTTTCCCTCCATAACTCAGGTATCTAGGAACACAAATCTTACAGTGAGTTTTCATCTGCTGATGTAATTTGGAGGCACTATACTTAAATTTCCTTTCATGGGGTGAGGGGAGAGATTAAGGAAACACTGTCTCTCATCTCTTTACCATTGATTAGGTGGAAAAGGCACTGCAAGCTTTAGCTGAACTTTCATCTCCTGCACTATTATTTGCCTTTTAAAGCAAGGATATTCACATCCTCTCCAAAAGGTCTAAATGATGCTTTAAGACTATTGGTGATTTCAGCTGTTTAAACACAAACACACACACACACACACACGTGTACGTCTACAGAGGCATAGGGATCATTTATATATGTGTATATGTCTCTGTACCAAGAAAGGGACAGAGAGACTGAAGGAAAGAAGATTTTATATCTACATGCAGTATGTGCATACACACCTAGATTTTACATAAGGAGACAAAGATATCTTTATCTAGACGATAGACAGACAAACAGACTGATTGACTTCAAACTTGCACTTTCACTGTGGCTCCGTTACCCCCCCCCCCCCCAATCCACGGGTATTCATTTTCAAAAGCACCCAGGGTCACA